AGTCTATCAACAGGCTGAGGGAGGATTTTTGTCCTTCTACTAAATCACTATGAGAGAGACACCTGGGGGAGGAGGTGTCTGCAAATATCAAAAAGTAAGGACAAAGTGCAGTGACTGGGCAAGTTTGTAGTCTATGGGCAGAGGCTACACTCAGATTCCAAAGTCTTATCTGCTATAGAGCATGTGTTCAAATCCCAGTGGTATAGAGACTGTCAAGTCAACTAGGGTAAGAAGGCCAGAGTGTCAGGACTTCTGAGAAAGGAGAATACATACAAATGTACATTTTTGCTTGGTGTGCATAGATACCTTTGGAAGGATATTCAAGAAGCTGAGAACAGTCAAGCACTGATGGCTCATGCCTATAATCCTAGCTACCTAGTAGTCTCAAATAGGGAGCATCACAGCTCCAGGCTGCCCCAGCAAGACCCCATCTCTAAAATAACCAGAGCAAAATGGACTGGAGGTATGGTTCAAGCAGTAGAGCACCTGCTTTGCAAGTGTGAAGCCCTGAGTTCAAACTATAATCCCTCCCCAAAAAATAAAATAAAATAAAACTGAGAACACAAAGACAGGGAACTCAGTGGTGAAGGATAGAATGTTAACTGTGTTGTTGTACTTGGAGTTTTTCTACCTGTTGAATACTCCTACTTGAATACCAAGCATCAAATCCACCAAGGCCACATAGAGATGAAATATTGGAGTCTAAGAGTTTGAGGAATCTCACTAGACTGGAGAGCTCAGTATTTTGCTGACAGCCCCTGGAGAATTCTGGCTTGTCTTGTGTCCTTTTCTCCATTTGAGCCAGTTTCCCACATATAAGTCTGGTTTTTCTACAGGATGTTCTCTGTAATTCTCCTTGTACCTCTTCTCCCTAAGTTAGCTGATGAGTTACTCCATTTTCCAATGCTGATGCCTCTCCAGCAGTCAGTGCAGGGAGAGAGCAGTTGTGCCTACTGACTAACCCTCATCTCTCCCCACAGGTCCTTTGGTTGCATTCTCTGCCATTACCCAAGCCAGGGACACGGGAGCTTCCCTCTACTCTTCCCTTTGCCTCACGCTTCTGCAGCCTACACCCAGTTCATCACCAGGTCCTGAAGACCTGACTGCTACCAGTCTCAAATTGCAGATCCTCGTTCTGTCACCTCTAAGGACCACTGCTCATCAGGACTGTTCTGATGGTCTTTCACTGACACATTTGCCACAGTCTCCCAGCAAGTCTTCCTGCCTCCAATATCCAATCTGCCTTGAGAGATCCTTCTAAAACACCAATCTGACCATGTTGCTCTTCTGTTAAACCTCTCTACTAGCTCCTCCTCACCTATGACAGCTATTACGGGAATAAAAATGCTTCTGCGGGGAGCAGGGAGAAAAGGATTCATCCATGCACAGCGCTACCACAGGCAGACCACTGGGTGCTTAGGGACACTCATAAACAAGGAAGTTGTGGTTCATACCCACTTCCTATCCTACTAGCAGCAAGGTCACCCCTTTCCCTCACAGCAGCTCAGTGCCTAGCAGGCTGTAATAGCCAATAGGTCCAAAAACTCCACCTGAGAACTTCTGACGCACAAACTAGAGTTAACACTCCATAGAATTTCAACAAGACCCTTTTGGTTGGATCTAGATATCTCTTCAACTTCATTTCTTGTCATTAATTTCACACTTCATTCAATTTCACTCTTTCTTGTCTTTTCCCATATCACCCCCTCTTCCTGGAGTGTCCTTCTCTATCTTGAATGTCCTTATCTGCCTGAAACACTCCTATTTACCCTTTAAAACCCTGCCAAACATCACTTTTAATCACCTTCTTTTCTGTATGCCCCCTTTCCATGCCTTGTGTCTTTTATCGTTTCATGGGTCATGTGCATTGTAATACATTTCCATGCTCCCAACCCCCAAGTCACTACTAAGCTCTCTGAGGTAAGGACCATCATGGCAGCCCCAGTATCTGGCCCAGGCCCTTACACAGTATTCAGCACTACTGACTCAGACTTTTCCCATATTATCTTTCTAACATTGATGCATGTGGGCACGTGATCTTGCTCAATATAGTTCTTTATTATACGCTGACTTACACAGGGTTTCCATTCAGTCCTTGCAACCTTATAAGCCTTGATAAGTTTTACTGAGAATTGTAGTGTTTCATGTCTGACTTCATCAAGGATACCCTAAGTCCAAACAAGACAAACAGAACTAACTCCAATGCTGAAATGTGACTAAATAAAGTTGTAACTTAAGAAAGAATCTTTAAAATGTTGGCCAGAGTATAAGAATACACCCCTGTTCATTCAACAGTGTCGACCCCAAGGTCAGTTCTGTGGAGGGTAAATCATCTCCACAAGCACCAAGATGCCTTTGTGACTAATTTAGTTTCCCAGGTATCTTGACAACAGGATGGAGTAGCTCTGATATTTCAGTCACTGAAAATAGTTTCCCTCATGGACTAATGCACGGACATGCTGGTTTACATACCCATCTCTTGTGTGTTTGGTTCACATAAATCAGTTGTCGGGAGCACATTTGACTTTGGGTGTACTGATAAAAATCAGTTTCATGCCCCTACAAAATTGTCTCTGATCCCTGAGCAGACAGCCACCTTTCTGTACTTCTTTGTCACTCCTTTCAATGCTGTTTAACTATTTTCATGTAAAAAATATTTTTGTATTACATGTTTCATTCTCTTGATGTCTAAAGGCAAGCAGAGGCCTCCCATCTCATCGAAGAGATGAGGCTCAGGATGATCAAGTGGCTTGCTCGTCCAAGGATGCACACATCTTGCAAGCTGTGAATTATTTTTCTTTGCTTCCCTTTAAATGTCACAAAGAATTAAAGACAGGTTCCAAAAATCAAAGTTCTTTGTTCTTTCTACTCCTTCCCAATGCTAGGACATCAGTCCAGGAAGAAACAGACCTGGTGAAGATGTTTCTTCCAGCTGAGCCAATAACTGGAGTTGCCCCAAAAGTAGCAGCAGAGAAATTTCCAAAAGAGAATCCCTGAAACCATGCCAATATGGGAATGCTTGGGATTCCCAAGAAAGAAGCACTAAATGCCCAAGTGATGGGTCTGTAGCGTTTATTAGGGGAATTTATACAATGAGGAGGCTGCTGCAAGCTGAGGTGACCAGCCAGATGAAGGTTGCTCCACCAAGATATGTCAGCAGTGAGCAGGTCATGGAGTTTTATATGAGGGCTTAAGGAATTTGTTTCAGGGCAGGGGCTAGTTTCTGTGTGTTTAGCAAATGGATTAACTTCTCAGCATTTCAGGCAACAACCTAAACAAGTTTATCAGCTCCAGGGATTGTTCAAGGCCCAGGCTGGATTCAAGCCCACAGGAAAATGTAACCGGCTGGATCACAGAGCAGTCAAGACAACCCATGTTCCCCAGGTGGGACACAAAGAAATGGGTGGAACTGGGGGACCTCCAGAAGAGATGACCAGGGAGGAAGGAAAGAGCTGACTGGTATGGTGTTTATATAATACTCTTTTCTATCTACACTTATTCTTCTTAACCCTGACTACCCTGATGCTAGGAAGACTTCCTAATTTGAAGTTAAGAAAATTGATCCTCAGAGAAGTTGACCTTTTCATGGTCTTGGACCACTAGGAAATTGATATCCCCTTGTTCCTTTGAAGAACATCTACTGAGCTGTCTGGAGTGCAATAAGCAATGTAACTATAGCCAGCTCATCACCATCATCATTCCTATTATGGAGAAAATTGGCCTGTACTGAGTGTTTCCCACATGCTCAGACAGGTCCACTCATCTCATTCAATGCTCACAATAATTCCCTTAGGGAAGATGTTATTATACCCATTTTAGAGCTATTGAAACCGAGGTGCAGAAAGGTCTGTAACTTGCACATTTTCACATAACTAGAAAGGAATGATGGTAAGATTCAAACGCAAGCACACGCATGCCTGAGTTCACATGGCCGTGCTTCTCACCACTCTACCATGTCCTGATACTACTTCACAAGTTCACTGTGTGGCAAGGGTGCGTTTGAGATTAAGCAGAACTTTGAGTGGTGGCCTGAAAGCGAGGGAAGCTGGCATATCTGACTCTGTTACCACTCTGGGTTTTTTAAACCCTTGCTCCAGGCAAAAGTCTGCATTTTGACTGCAGTGGCTTCTGACCCTACACTAGTCATGCCCCTCATCACAGGCTGTTCCACAGGGGCAGTTACCTTTTTGTGCAATACCTTCCCTTCTTGTCAATGCCAGCTCTTCCTTCTGAACCACTTTTCTCACTATCCTTTTCAAGAAGGATGAATAAAACCTGTCACCCCAGTTCCTCTTTTCTCCATTTTCCCACTCTCTGGGTGGGAAAGAGCTTGCTCCCTGGGATTCCACCCTGGTTAAATGTTGCCTGATTCATCTCCCTATCCTATTCATGTCCATGTGTCTGGGATCCCCCACGTGCCGTGAGACTCCAGGGTCTTCTTTTGCTTCCACAGAACACCCACCTACAATAGACAGTGCCATAAACAAAAGCGATTGAGACTGATCGAGAATTTCAAATGCAGTTTATTGCAGCAAAACAAGGAAATGGGGAGTGTAAGACCTCTCTCAAAAAGACGAACAACTTGCATACACCTTATGTACAAAACCGAAGCATCACAGAGCTCGCTGCAAGAGACAGGATATTAAGAAGCTGTCCAGAGCACGGGCTCTGTGCTTGGTAAAGGAGCCCTAGGTCTGATTGGTCTTCCTCTGGCTGGAGTAGGAGGCTCTTTGAAATGTCATGTGTGTGGTGGTAATTGCCCAACTGTTTCTCAAGCAAAGCACAAAGCAGGGTTGTAACCTGGGCACTGAGGTTATCACAGATCTGGAAACTTCTTTCAGGAAGCAGAGCAGAAACAGAAAGAGCAGGGAGAAAACAGGATGAACCTGTGCAATTAACCATAGCTCTTTTCTCCTAACAGGCTGGGGCGATGGACCTTGGTCTTGACAAACGTATCTGGTGTGGTAGGCAGGGAGAGCTAATGGGATAGAGAGCACCCTTTATCTGGTCCCCTGGGAATAACTGGTGGAAAGGAACTTGACGCTAGAACTGCCACCAGAGCTTTTGACGCCTCCGGAACTGGATCCCCGGCCTCCGGAGGAACCGTAGCTGCCTCCCGAGCTCCCGCCGCCGGAGCCCCGGCCGCCAGAGCTGCCACCACCCCCTCTAGAGCCACTTTTGTGACTGCTGCCCCCGGAGCCGTAGCTGCCACCGCCGGAGCCGTAGCTGCCACCGCCGGAGCCATAGCTGCCACCGCCGGAGCCGTAGCTGCCACCACCGCCACCACCTCCAGAGCCGTAACCTCCGCCTCCGTAACCACCGCCGCCTCGGCTGCTACTTCCACTGATGCTGGTGTGGCTGGTGCTCACAGCTGCAGAGGGAGACTCGGTTATCTCTGATGTCACTCCCTTTCCGTCCCCACAAAAGCTGCACATTCCCCCTGAGAAGTAGGCTTTTGTACTTACACACGCTCACGTTCGGGGTGCATTCTCCAGACATCCTGTAGGAGAGAAAAAGCAACCCCTCAGGACAAGGTGGCTTCACACACTCCTTGTCCAGCCTCTTAACCATCCCAAGACTGTCCCCAGATAAGGCACCTTCCAATCCCCCAGACCTGAAACCTGCTCTGGGCCCCTCTGCCTCTGTGGTTGTTCTCAGCGTGAGTCCAAATGGACAAATCTCCATATAAATTAAACAAAAGTCTTGCAGCTAATGAGGGCCACCTCTAAAGGCATTGACTGTGTCAGATGACATCTGAGCCACCCAAATGAAGAGGAAAATTGCTCCATCTCAAATATAGAAATGTTAAAACCCTTAAAAAGAAAGAGGGAGGAGAGAGAAAAGAAGAAAGGGACAGGAAAAGTGAAGCTGAGTCCTTGCAACCAGCCCTGAGTAATTTTCATTTTACCAAACTCAGGACAAGCTGCAGCCAGGTGGCTGTGTGGTCAGCCACCAAGTCAGCTTACAAGGATGGAATCCCTTAGAAAGTGATGAAGCTGGCAGGGTCCTTTGCTCACCTGCTCTCCTCTCCTTCCAGGAGGGTCCTGTAGGTGGCAATTTCCATGTCCAGAGCCAGCTTGGTGTTCATCAGCTCCTGATAGTCACGCAGCAGCCGGGCCAGGTCTTCCTTGGCCTGTGTCAGGGCATCCTCCAGCTCATTCAGCTTGTTCTGGGCATCTTTGAGGGCGTTCTCACCACGCTGTTCAGCATCACTGATGGACTGCTGCAAGCTGGCAATCTGAGGGAAGAGAACTCAGTACATTATACTTGCTTATGTTACCTAAACCCACCTTGGCCTTTCTATCACAAATTGATCTCCCTACCCCAGGGGGTGAGGGGGCCAATATACTGAATCCCACAGAACCTCTGGACCTCCTGGCTCCTTTCCTCTCACTTCTCAGGACCTAAGTCTGCTTTAGGTCACGGGTGAGACCACTCATTCTGACTGTCACATTGTTCTCTGCTAGATCATTTTCACAAATTTCTCTTGAGAATCCCACATGATGGCTAAACTCTGGAAACCAGCATAATCCCACAAAGGAAGTGGGGATAACAGTGTAGCTTTGGTATGAATTGCAAGACTCAAAACCAGGAAAGCCTCCCCCATTGCCTGAAGGTTACCTCCATTCCATACAACTGATCACTAGAAGGAGGAAGCAAGTACCTGCTTCTTGACACTGTCGATTTCAGATCTAAGTCGCTGGATCACCCGATTCAGCTCAGAAATCTCCATCTTTGAACTTTTCACACTGTCGCCATGTTTGCCAGCAGTGATCTGCAGCTCTTCATACTAAAGATGGTAGATCATGTCAGCGGTAACAGAACCCAGCATGCTGGGGCTCACAAACATAAGAGAAAGCCCAGGACAGCAGGCAAGACATTTTGGAGGAACTGGCTAGGCTTGCAGGCACTCACCTTGCTCTGGAACATGTTTTCAGCCTCAGACTTGCTCCTCTGGGCAACTACCTCATACTGGGCCTTGACATCAGCGATGATGCTGTCCAGGTCCAGGCTGCGGTTGTTGTCCATGGACAGGATGACATTGGTTTCACTGATGTGAGTCTGCATCTGAGACAGCTCCTGCAGGACATAATCATTCAGTGACTCTCACAGTGCCAAACAAAAACCACTTAGAGTGAGAAGTCAAGAGATGGAAGGTGCATTTCTGGTCTTCTAGAGAATGGTGGGGTTGGGCTTCAAGACTCTCCATTTAAGCAGCCTTGCTGAAATTAGAGGACTTACCGCTTGGTAGAGTGTTGTGTAGAAGTCAATATCCTGTCTCAAGTTGTCAACTTTGGCCTGAAGGTCTACCTTGGTCATATAAGCAGAATCTACATCCTAGAGGAACAAAGGGCATCATGAAGCCATATTCTCTCCAGAATAGCCATGAGGTGGTTTTCTAAGTAGGAGTAGACTTTGGAGTCTGCTCCACACCTTTTTTACCTCAGATAGATCACACTTCCTGGATTATTCCACCTCTTTTTGTCATTAGCCAAGGAGTTCCCCTGACTCACTGAGAACCTGCCTCCCACTAACTACAGGAGATGCTGAGAAATATGGAGGAGCTGAGTACCAGGATTAGTGCAGGTTCATAACAATATGAGAAAACAACTCTACTTCAGATGTTCAACAGGCCTACTACTTGGTTCTCCACAACATGGCTTCTTTATGCTTATTATTACAGGCTGTCTTCTATTATTTATTTCACAGGTGAGTTCCATCCTACAGAATTTGCTCACCTTCTTGATGGTCACAAATTCATTCTCTGCATTTGTACGCTTGTTGATCTCATCCTCAAACCTGCAGGAAAGCAGAAATGATTAGGAGATCCAAAGGAGGTGAGGTCTACGCCCAGTATTGTAGACTAAACATGGCATTTTCTGCCATTGCCTTCCTATTCCAAGCTAAGACTTTTTGGCCACCTCTTTCTTCTGAGCAATAAAACTACTAAGCTATTTCCATCTTTTGAGAAGATGAAAAATTCTGAAAATGCCCAACTTATTTGCATCTAACCTAAGAAAAGACACAACTACATTCTTAGCTCACCACTTTCTATAAATCTTTTAGAGCAAGAGTTAACAAGTGCCGAGCCAGGCTTCCTTACTTGTGCCGGTAATCCTCTACCAGGTCTTGCATGTTCTTCAGTTCTGAATCCATCCGAGATTGGTCACTCTTCAGTTGGTCCACAGTTCTTCTGAGGTTGGAGATGTATGCCTCAAAGTATGGCTCTAAATTGTGGGTTCTCGTGGTGGTGTCCACCTGCTGCAGTAGCTCCCATTTTGTTTGCAGTACCTGGTTCTGCTGCTCTAAGAACCTCACCTAAGAACACAAGACCCATTACCCCTTGTGCAGAGATAGGGTCCCATGACCACTGAGCAAGGCAAATGCCTCATTTGAAAAAGAACATTGATTTCTATTCCTAGCCATGACAAACAAAGTAATAGGAAGACAATGATCAAGTAAGCACCTTCTTCATAACAAAACCCAACTCATTGTTAATTTAGAGAAGTATTGGAAGGAAGTGACTACACAGTACTGGTAGCAAGACATATATAAAATGCTTGTGCTTTTAAGTAGATAAGGGGTATTTCAGAAATTTTCCTTCCAATTTTTTAAGGTAGATAGCCATAAAAATTAGTTTGCATTACCTGGGTATACACATAGCTCAAAAGTATGTTTGGAAAAATCTCAAATTAGATTTGAAATGTATTGTGGATAACTTGAATTAACATTATTAATGATTAAGCAGAAAACTAAAAGCTGGTTTACATATTTTTCCAGAACCAATGCTTGGAAATAGTAGCATTAAAAATCTCCACCCTTACCTAGTATCAATGTGAAATTCTCAAAGGGCAGAGAACCCTTCTGACAACAAAAGATGTTTCGTACTTATCCTAACTTCCTTTGTGCTACAATATCATAAGACATTCTGAACATACTCAGTTCCCTTTTTATGTCTAGGAAGATCCTTCCAGGGTTCTCATTTGCAACCTAGAAAATTTCATTAGGCCCATTTCTATTACCTTCATTCAATAGAATGTAAATCCCCAAACCAACCCATGTTTAGATCAACCACAGACCACTTTGTCCAAGAAAGAGTTTAGTCATTAGCATCATTCCCAAGCAGACTTCTAACATATGTCCCATTCCACAAAATATCCTTTTAGTCATCCACCTAGAGAAATGTGAGATAAAGCCCACACATATATTGGCTGCTCCAATCTGAATGGACCCAGGAGCAGAGAGGGACTTACCTTGTCAATAAAGGAGGCAAACTGGTTGTTGAGTGACTTGATCTGCTCCCTTTCTTGAGACTTAACTTTTTGGATCTCAGGGTCAATCTCCACATTGAGAGGTTGCAGAAGGCTCTGGTTGATGGTGACTTCTTGTATACCACCAGGGGGGCAGACAGGCCCAAAACCACCTCCATATCCACCACCCCCATATCCACCACCCCCAAATCCACCACCCCCAAAACCACCTCCACTGCCAAAACTACCACCACCAAACCCACCCCTGCCGAAACCGCCACCAAAGCCACCACCGCTGAAGCCACCACCACCAAAGCCACCACCACCAAAACCCCCATAATAGCCACTACGTCCACCTCCTCCAGCCACACTTGAGGAGATGCTCCTGCCACCACCAAGGTTTGTCAAACTCTGACTTCCAAACCCAGAAGAACCCCCACAGAAACCTCCTGAAAATCTTCCACCACCACCTCCTCCTCCACTGCGTCGCACAGAGCTGCTGGTGCATCTACGGAAGCTGACCAGGCCTGCAGAGCCGGAACTGAAGCCCCTGCCACCCCCACACACTGACCGGGAACTACACTGTCTACTCATGTTGGCTTAGAGAGAAGTAGAAGCAAAGAAGAGAGAGGGAAGGAGCTAAGAACTCCTCTGCCCTGAGCCCAAAGATGTCCCCTTATATACAGGGAAGAAATTGGGCTTGGTTTCCAGAGTCAGCGGAGATGCAGCTCCTCCGAAGGGTTTGGCTTGCCTGCAGCCATACAAGATTTTTACGAGCCTCAACAATACGATAAACACTACACACCTAGCACCCAGGATGGGCTGTCAAAATTGCTGTGCAGGCAAGATTGACTCGTGTGGCAATCACTTTATCAGACAGGATCTCTCTTCAAGTGCTGGTGACTTTGGGAAACTAGGACCCCACATCTGCTACCTGGTGTTTCTAGAAGGATTCCATAACCCCCATCATAAAGCTAAGCAAGTTTCCACTCTTGCCTTGCCCTTGGAAACTGCTGAACACACTCACTCACATAAATAGCAAGTGTAGTTCCCCAGGTATGATCACTGAAGGAACTCTCCGGCCCAGTTCTGACATTTGCCTTCCAAAGCCTCTAAGTTACATCTCCAGACACAGAGTAGGGGCTTTCATAAGTCAAAATTAAAAGGTTTTTTAATGTATGCTTTTATAAGTGTCTGCATTGATTGATTGAAAGAAGAGAAGCTGTCATGCAATAGGATGGATTGGACCGTCAGCGGGGAAAGACAGGGTCTTTTCTAAGTTTCCTAGTTGTTCCTTTTCTTCAAAGATAGCCAGGGCAGGATACAGACATCAGAGGCATCGACAATAGAAAACAGGTGCCATGCAAACACAAGTTGAAAAATATTTACTCATCTACACTAAGATGAGCAAATATTTGGTACATTTGGTAAAGCAAATTGAGAAAAGTAAGGCTTAACAGGTGGTTCAAGCCTCACTCTGGTCCATAAAGGAGAGATGAATGTAGATTTAGAACGGAGACCTAGAAATCCTGGTCTGAGAAGTTATTTCTGCAGTCAATGATAACTATGATGATAATGACAGCTACCAAGTGTCAAAACCTGACCATGTGCAGGCACTGTTCTATATATTTTATGTGTATTCACTCAATTTTCACAACAACTTTGAGAAAGATTTTATTCTACCCATTTTAAAATGAAGAATCTAAATTATGGGGGTTGAAGAACCTGCCCAAGTGTACACAGCTGGGAATTGGCATGGCTGGGATTTGGACGGAGGATGCCTAGCTACAGACAGTGGGCAAGATCCTAACAATCCTGTTGTATGACAGAACAGCCACTAATTTCGCATCCTCCTGCCTGTTGTGGATAAAGCCAGACAGCATAGGCATCTGGTCCACTGCACAGGGCTCTGAGGGCAGGAAGACTCAGATTCATCCCTTTGAATCTTTAGCTCCTGGCTCACGCAATTACTTGGGAAATGTTTCTTCAATGACTCTGAGAAGGGGAGACTGGAAATGTAGAGTTCAGGGAGATTTTGCTTCAGTCCTGGTGCAAGAGTACCCAGCAAGCTTTGCAGCAGGCCAGGAAACCCCAAGGGCCTTCCTAAAGAGCAATACTTGATCAGTATTAATGGAGAGTAGTGGCATTGAGATCTGGAAAGACCAGAACCCCACACAGACTTTCATTCAGAGACTTCTTAGAAGCCTGGCATGCTCCCCACACTTGCTTGTAAACAGTCAGTGAGAAAAACCTGCTGTGACTTCAGACTGCGAGTGATACATTATAGACTTGCATGGGAAGTCCCCATTGTGCAGTATAAGATCTGCAGGAGAAGGAGAGTATATGATAGCCCACCGATCCCATTGCTGGGTGGTTCTGAACCAGGTGTTGTGTCAGTCCTCCACACTCCATTCTCACACCCGAGCCTGTTCCTTTTCTCTCTCACAGTGTTTGCCCTACCCTCCTCCAGATAGAGCTCCTCACCTCACCACTGTTTCTCCTCTCCCTCCTATCTCCACAGCACTGTTGTCTGGGACTCTGTCATAGCACAGACATCCTTAGGCTGCTAAACCAACCATCTCTTTAGGGAATGAGTAATCCAGGTCTTGGGAACAATGGGGACTGGGATGGTCTTGGCATGGTAATGACTATTGCCTAATCATCTTCTGACAGGCAATCAAAATTCTTTTAGTTCAGCATACTCCCTATGAGACATATCGTTCTGCACAATCGATTCCTTCTAGCATTTTGGAGGGGTGCACATATGTGTATGCATGTTTGTATATATGTATGTACCAAGCAACAACAGATCTTTGCAGTGATCCCTGCTTCCAAACTAAGAAACTAACAGAGAGAAAAAAAGGGAATGATCAAGCAATTGGTCGACAATTTACAAAGCTGCAAACACATTCTAGGAGCTACCATGAGAAGGGAGAGATGCAGGAGCCAGAAGAAACAAGAAGGCATCAAATCGCCATCAGCTAACCTTTGTACAGCTTGCCTCACAGAGCACACACAAACCCATCCCCACAAAAACTCTGTGAAATAGGCAGTCAAACCTATAATGCAAAGCAGACTACTGAGGCTCAGAAATATTATGGTTTACTGTGGATACTCCAGCTAGGAAAAAACACATCTAAAACTGAACCTTGCCTTTCTAGTGATCTTCTCCCTCAACTGGAGAAAAGATGCAAAAACAGACAAGTGGACCTAGATCCTATAAGCAAGTGCAGAGAATTGCTGAATATTCCCATCCATGGATGCTCAAAGGACATGCCACCTAGCCTGCCCACCAGAGAAGTGAGAATGCAGACCCAAGGAAGTGAACAGTGTTTATCCACATCACACAATTGAGTCCTGGGAATCCTTCACTTTCTGAATCAAACTCTTGTTCTCTTTCCACTGCTCACTCTCAAATGCAACCCAATCAGACAGGAACTGCAATAGTGCCAGCCAGCCATGTCCATCGCCCCCTCCAATGTCCTCAGGATGGTGGTGGATGTGTGGGGCTATAAAAGTCCATGTTGGATAAAAGTATCTCCCTCCCACCCTCACTACTGGCTTATTTATAGAGTCTGCCCTTACCAAGGGCAAGAGGCACTAACTTCCGTAGGCATGGACTACATGTTAGGAGCTACATCTCATTTAAATGTCATGAAAAGTCCTCGGGCTGGTAGTTATTGGCTTCATTTTAAAGAAAAAAACAGCTTAGGTTCATAGAGGTGAAAATGTATGCCCAAGGTCACCTAGCTGGTAACTGACAAGCCAGGTTTCTCCAGAGCAGGTTTCTCCTTTCAGCCTTGGCCTGCCTTCGCCACCTGTACCACCTACACCTTTCCTGCTTACCTGTCTCACAGCTTCACACCATGACCCTTCCACCTGTGCTTTGCCCAGACCACCCAACCCTCTTCTTCCTTTTTCCTCTCTGCTCTTCTCCGTTTCCCCCAGCTGACTTCTACTCTTCACTGTGAGGCCTTCCAGTCACTCTGACAACTAGCTTCAAACCCCTTCCCATAGTCAAGTTCTGAGGTCCACAGATGTCAAGTCCTGAACATCTGGTCCTGAATCTGTTTTCAGTCCACCAGGACTTGACAGCAAATGTCTTTCTCTCTGGGGCTCCTTTGGGGCAGTCACAAAGCACAGATCTCATTTCCTCTTAATTAACATCATATAGGCCCTCTGTTGGTTTCTTTTCTAAGCTTAGTTACAAGTTACTCACTTGAGTGCACGTTGGTTGATGTACCAACTGGCTCATTTGCATGCATGTGACTCTGTGTGTGTATTTTCTGACAATCACTCCCCGCCCCTCAGTTGCTCAGTAAGCCTTGGAAAGCAAGACAAATCCTCCGTGTCATGGGTGCCCTCCTAGCCTCCTGCATGGTCCCCAGAATTTGAGGGGTACCCCCAGCAGTACAGGATAACACCTGCCCAAAGACTGACACACACCTCAGAGCTGATGGCAAAGAGGTTGCCCAAGCAAGCTGTGGGGCAGGGGCAGGTGTGGTGATGTTTTGAGAGTTTTTTGAGGGATGGCACTGAGAAAAGAATTAAAGAGAAACATGCAATGACAAGCCACCCAGCCCTGAGGGACTCTACCAGGGACGTGGGAGAAGGGAATTTCAGGGGAGTGGGGAAAGCTGAAGCCTGGGAGGAGTTCAGGGGAGTCACAGACAATGGGGAGGTGGGGTGAGATGTTGAAAGCTGACAGGCAGCAGAGGAGGGGCTGAGACTTTTTATGCAGGAGGGAAAAATGCAGAGTGAGGGGCAGCCCTCTTAAAGACAGCAAAGAGGATGGCCACCAGAAACCACTTGCAAGCAATGTGGGAACAGAACAAAGGATAAGCAAAAGGGAGCCAAAGACATAGGAGAGAGGCAGAAAATGTTGTCTAAGTCTGTGCTGTGGAATCAGTCAGACCTGGTCACATTCCTGATGGCTCATTTCTAGCTGTGCGACCCTCAGCAAGCCATCGACCCTCTTTGAGCCTGAGTTTTCTCTTTTGGAAATGGAGACTATCTCTACTTTCCAAGGAAACTGCAGGGTGCTGATGATAAAGAAAGGAAGGATTCTCTCTCATCCTTACATTTGGAAAGATCCAGAAGCTGATCTAATAACCAGGAAAAACTTTACAGTGAGCCCATTTCACTGAAAACACTGAAGGGGCTAGAAATGGAAGCTTAAGTTTTTGAAATGAGATCTTGTAAGAGAAAGCCATAGGGCCAGTAAAGTCCATAAACCTGTAATTGGGAGACTGGGGGCCCATCACACAGGAGTGATGCTAGGGAGCAAGGGCTAGATGAAAGGAACCTGGCTGGCACTGAGGAATATCTGCTCTGCAGGGTGGCAACAAGCCCCACAAGCTGAACACACTGTGACAGGTGGGGAAGCCAGGCTGCCTACTGACAGGCCCCCAGAAGCCTTGCCAGGCTTGAGATTGGGACATTCAGAACCGATTTTCATGCTGGAGAACCCACCAACACTCCGAGTTCCCAGCCCAGCCCTGCAAGAGAGCATTGATCAACTAGAAGACATCCAGGTCCCTGGACTGATCGGAAAGGTGATAAAACCAGGGCAACAAGTCCAACAAAACCGTGGGAGTTACACAGAACTCGAAGAGGACCACCTGGCTCTTTAATTTGAAGATAACCTCCTGGGCCAAAGAGCTGAGCACTTTAGGGTGAGGTGGCATTCTCATTACTGTCCCTTAGACCAACAACTTTCTCAGCCCAGAAATACACATCTTGTCCAAGGTCAGACAGAGTTGGAATTTTATTGAGCCAGTGATTGTTCCTGAGATAAAAATCTCTGCAGCTGAGAAGCTGCTGGAATTAAATTTAGATTTCCCATGTGGCCCGCCCTGCCACAGTTTCCCAGAGGGAGGAGCACCTGGCAAACCTGCCCTGGGATTTCACCACCCCAGTGTCAGACAAATGCATGGACCAGCTTTGCTCTCCCTCTGTCTTGTACGGATGTATGGATGGGGACAGAATAGAGTGCTCCATGGCCCCTGGAAGAATCACAGAGCCCCACACATGGTCTCCCTAGCTCTCTCCCAGAGACAGTGAAAAAACAAATGAGATAATGCATTTTGTACATGGTTTATAGAATTGTTTGTTGTTTTTCACTGTGGTGAGCTGGAGGTGAGTGGTGTTTTTTTCCTGATGAGACATCTCTCTGTCCATACCAGGAGACTGCCTCTGATGTCTCAGTACTAGCCTTCGTTGCTCAGAGCTGTAGAGAGCTTTATCTTGCCCAGAACATCAAACCAAGACTCCTCATCTAGACTCTAAGAACCCTTCCTTAACTAAATCTTCTCCTCCTGCCTTTATTTTCCATGCCCCTGCCCTGTGGCATCTCTGTTACAATATCCCCAGGATTTGGATACACTGTTCCCTCCATCTGCCCCTACCCTACCCACACCCACCTCTCTCTTTTTGAGATGATCAAGTCTTCTGAAAAGAAAAGTCAGGACCATATTTTCTGGGGCAATCTTAATTCCTGGACAAAAGCAGTTTGGGAAAGGTGACCTCTGGCTGGCCTTGCCTTTGTGCTTTTTCCCAGAGCCAACCTGGATTCCCTTAGAGCATCATATTCACATGCACAATCCCAGGGATGGTCTATCCTCTTCCTCTAATAGGTTTGGTGGTGCCAGAAAAGATAGGTTCATTTTATGATCCTAGCTAAGCCTTTGGCCTCTCCATGACTTTCTCCTTCCCTGGAATTATTCTTCTCAAAAAACATAGAGAGCAGAATTTGTCTTTTCTCAGGCTCTGCTACATGAACTCCTAGGGTAGCAAAGATGTGAAATGCTTCCACACACATATCCCCACCTATCCTTTACTCTCTCTCCCTCCACTTCCTGCCAAGTGGTTAGCCAACCTCTGCTTGAAATTTGATAACTCCCCAAGTGGCCTCTCCCATCTCATGATCAACAGAAAGGTGCTTCTTACATGGAGCCAAATCTTCTGGAGTTCCCACCTGCCCATGTATGTCATCATGTGGAGTCAACTCCCTTTTCTATGCAGGCTCTTCAAATCTTCACAGATAGCTGACACGTCTCTCCCAAAGACTTCCCTCCAGGTCCCCCAACCATTCCTCATGGGCCAGGGTTTTGATGCTCTACCACCACTGTCCTGGTCCCTATCCTCTGAGTAGACTCCTATTTATTACTGTCGTTGGCATTCAGAGCCCCCAGAAGTGTTCTGACTACAGAAGGGCCTCAGCAAGCTGTCTTCTTCCTGGTTCCCATGGCTGTCTTCAGCAGTCACCACGCCCTACTGACTCATGTATTCTCACGACAGCTGAACGAACACTGTCAATCATTTTTATGCTCACTGCTGTCACACATCTTCTCTGGGTAGCTCTTATGCTCTTAGTTTTCTACTTTATAGGACATTGCATCTGTCTTCCCTCCCTCTTCTTCCTTTTGGACAGCCCCTCTGTCTGCCTTTCCATCTCCCAACCTGCTTCCATTAGACCTGCTGCCAAGACAGGTGAGCTGGGAGAAACTTCTCAGAGAATGTCGGGTGTGCCTGGGAACACAACGTCTTATCAATATGGGTTGCAGTCAGATTTGAATGAATCCCATATCCAAATTCCATCTGTGTTTCTTCGGGGAACGAGAAGGCAGATCACAACTTTTATGCAACTCCTTTACACCAACTCAGAAATACCATATATGATAAGGTGATGGCTTAACTTGCTCCATTTTTAAATTTCTTGCTCTCCTTACAATATCAGTTAAAGATCTCCTGCCCTTTCTCCCTACTCAGTTTTGGGCCTCAGCTCCTTGCCTCCCAGCTCAATTTCTCTGGTTCTGCTGCTCCCTCTCACTCACACACATTTGCTGTCTCTTGTCTTTGAGACTCCTGTCCCACAGGCTGACCCCCTGTCCTTGCCCATACTTATCCTCGCTCTCTTCCCCAGCTCTGTGCCACCTTCCAGTGCTTCAGAAGCCCACCGGGACCAAACTTTCCTTCCCCATCACTGGCTCCAGCTGTGGGTCCCACTGCTTCTCTTCTGGTGAGTCTGACTATGTCCTCAGGAGGGTTTGCTTCACCCTCAGGCTAGGTGATCCATGAGACACACTCTGGCTTCTCCTCCCTCTGAAATTTTCTCTCCCTCACAATATGTCACCTGAGTTATGGGCATCTCAAGATTGAGAAACATGTTCACTCAACATTGCATTCCCAATGCCTAAGCCACCGCTTGCCACATAGTAGGAACTTAATAAGTGTCCCTTGAATGAGTGTGTAGTTGACTTTTGAATGATGGATCTCTTTAAAGATTAGGAAGATTATGTCTTTGAGGCTCTTCAAGACTGTGTGTTGTAGACAGGCATGGTGGTGCACACCTGTAATCCCAGCTACTCAGGAGAGAGAGAGGCAAGAGGAGCGTGAGTTCTAGGCAAGCCCAGGCAAAAGTTATCAAGGCCCTATCTCAAAAACAAACTTCAAACCTAACGGCTGAGGAGTAGCCTAACATGTATGAGGTCCTGGGTTCAATCTCCTAGCACTGGAAAAAAGATTGTGTGTTGCTTGTACAATACAAAATAATAAAAATAATACACCTTAACCTCAAATATGAATTATTGCAAAGACCTGAAGAAATTACTCATCTGACCACGTGGTATTTTGAGATCACAGAAAAATTTATTGTAGAAAAACCAGAAATGCCGAGCCTTTCAAGGTACAACTTTCAGTTAGGAAATGGTAAAGTCACAAGCACTCCCCAGGGAACCCAAATGGAGTCTGTGAGATGCCCCAACAGAATCATGGACCTGGAGGTGGTGTCAGGATTCAGCAAACAAGTGAAGGGGACTCCAAATCTTGGAAGCAAAGCCACACTCCCGCTCCCATCGGCTGATACTTTCCCCTTCCTGCCCCCTCCAGCACATCTCAAGCATCTTATAAGACCCCTAAATTAGGAGTCAAATCTCACAATGTGCTCTGAGCCACAGAGAACAGAAGGTAGAGGGACTTAGGAAGGCTGGGAACATACAGTAAACTGCCTGCCACAAACAGGCAGCTTCCAGACTGGCCTCGGATTGGAACCTTCCCAAGAACCAAGTCACTTAGCTCCTAGTTTTCCTCAGGCCCAGGTACCTGGATAGAGCAAAGCTGGGCTTCAGGTGCACAGCTAGTTAGGCCAGTCTCAGCAGGGCTGTAATGGAGCAGAGTTCAGGAAGGGAGGTGGTGGGTATGGGGCACAGGACAGAAGAACTTGACTGTTTTCCCATTACCCTCCTTCCTATCTACTGCTAAGAACCGTTCTCCCTTGGACAAGAACTGAGGTCCTCATGCCCACTGAAATACTCCCACCTGGGGCTGTTAACCTAGGAGATAAAACTTCTTGAGACAAAGAATCACACTCAGGACAACTGTGTAACCTCCAGGTACCTGGTGTAGGCAATGATCCACCCTATGAGGTTACAGACCAACAGTCAACTGACTCTTGGTTCGGAGGCCAGATTGCTTCCTGGGCGGATGATTATTTACAGAGCTACCCAGGTGCAGGAAAGCGCGGACATGGGGTTGGAACACCTAGCGTAGTTGACATTCATTCTCAAGATCCACATTGAAGATGTTCTATGCTGAACGAGACCTCTGGGTGTCCCCAGGGACAGGAGCAGGGGCCAGCCAGCACGGGGGGGGGGGGGGGGGGGGGGGGAGCCTGAGCGAGAATGTGACCGCAGGCAAACCAGGGGCCTTCCAAAGATAAAAGCTGCTGTTCGGGTTTGTCACCCTGCTTCCCCACCTAGAGTCGGATTTATTGTCAAAACCGCTGAAACCATCAGGAAAGGGTAAGTGAGCAAAGGTAAGTGGGGAGGGGGTGGGGGGAAGGCGACAGGAGACCGCTCTTGGGCGGCGTGCCGCGATGCCTCTACTCCACCATGCGCCTGCGGGAGGTGTTGGTGGAGGTCTGGATGATCTGCACGCGCGAGGAGCCGCCGCTCCTGCCGCTGCTCTTGTTGCTCGCTCCGTAGCTCCCGCCGCCGCTGCCATAGCCACCTCCGCTGCCCCCTCGGGAGCCTCCTCCTCCGTAACTTCCCCCGCCGCCGCCGCCTCCGCGGGAGCTGCCGCCGTAACCTCCAGAGCCGCCGCCGCCGCCGCCACCGCCTCCCCCACTGACGGTCACCTGGCTGCTGTGCACCGCTGAGGGGGAGAAGGACAGGGCAGACCGGTCAGAAGGACCAAGTTGCACCACCCCTCTCTGGTCCCCTCTTCCGACCCCTCTCCCTGCAACACAGTCTCCTACATCCTTGACTGGTGGCACCTGGCTGGCAAAAAGATACATTGGAAGTAGAAAGTGTTCCCACTTAAAAAGCATTCTTTAGACCTGTGATCCCAGGGAGGGCCTCAGGTAGGAAGATCAAGGTCCAGGCCAGCCCCTGGTAAAAAGGCGACACCCTACCTGAAAAATAACTGAAAGCACAAAGAGCGTGGGAGCATGTCTCAAGTGGTAGAGCACCTGCTTAATATAGTCGGCCCTGAGTTCAAACCCAAGTACCACCAAAAAAAAAAATTGTTCATGCTGCAAAAAGATGTCAGAACACTTTTAAGTAACACATGCTCCTTGTTTATATACTCTAAAGAGTTCTAGTCATTGTTGACTATTAAGTATCATAAAAGCTAAGATAAGCCAGGCACCAGTGACTCAAACCTGTAATCCTTGCGACTTGGGAGGCTGGATCAGGAGACTCTCAGTTCTAGGCCAGCCTAAAACCTCATGGGTGGCAAGACCTCACCCCCTCAAAAAAAGTAATAATAATAACCAAAGCAAAATAGACTGGAGGTACAACTCAAGTGGTAGAGTACCTGCTTTGCAAGAGCAAAACCCCGAGTCCAAACTTAATCTCCTCCTGCCCCCTCAAAAAAACTAAAATACTAGCAGACATGAAATTGTAACCATTTATTTCAGCAAAGTCTGCCAGGATTTGTGGTGATTTATTATTTGTACAGGACTGCAAACTAAAATGCCAGATACCAATTCCCTGCTGGTCTCCTGGCAAAGGGCCCCAGCGTGTCCTAGGTCCAACACCAACCACCCTCTGTTCCTAGACTCTGCTACTTACAGATGCTTACGTGGTCCTGCAGCTCTCCAGACATCCTGTAAAAACAAAGTATAAACATTAGCTAGTCTTGTGAAGCCTGAAGACATTAGCTGAAGGCAACAGCTGGGAGCGGAGATGTGGGAGTGAAAGGAAAGCTGAGGCCATGCCTCAGAAATGTGTGTGCATGTCAGAGGCAGGGAGCAGTGGGACCAGGGGGGGTTTTGGCACTTTCATGGAGCCTTTTAGCATTAGGCTCACACCTGGCTGCAATGACTGGATTGGGTATGGGGTCATGATGCTTGGGGAATAGGAACTAGTAACAAAGGTTTTGCAGCCCTATCCTACATCATCTACAAATCCCACATTATCTGACTAACTGTAATGCTTCTGCTCTCCTTAGACTACCAGTCTTCCTGAGAAACTGGAAAGATTCTCTTCTCTCCAAACAATCATCCCCACTGCTCCATGGCTGCATCCTCAGCTGTGGTGGGGGAAACACAGCTGTCACACCCACCTGCTCTCCTCACATTCCAGCAGCTTGCGATAGGTGGCAATCTCCACATCCAGGGACAGCTTGGCCCCCAGCATTGCCTGGTAGTCTCTCAAGAGCCGGGCCAGGTCCTCCTTGGACTGCTGCAGGGCCTCATCCATGTCCTGAAGCTTCTGCTTCGCATCCTGGAGGGCCTGCTCTCCTCTCTCCTCTGCATCCGAAATAGCTGAATGCATCTGTTCGATCTATGCCAGAGACAGTGGGAGAATCACATAGGTGTTGAGTTTCCAGATTCTGATCTGGCAGGGATTGAGGGAGGAAGTGGGTCTGGTCAGCACACCCTGAGCACCCCTCCTACCTGCTTCTTGACATTGCTGATCTCTGCCTGCAGCCTCTGGATGGTGCGGTTGAGCTCAGAAATCTCCATCTTGGTGTTCTTCAGGTCATCTCCATGTCTCCCTGCTGTGATCTGGAGCTCCTGGTACTAAGAGTCAAAGGCAGCATCACAGTCAGCACCCACTGCTCACTGCTAGTTCCTCAAGGAGGGGAAAGGTCTGTGTTGCTCACTCCTGGATAGTTCTAAAGTAACCTAGAGCTGTGGGCCCACTTAGGCACATTCACAGTCACACCCATATCAAACCTCTCTCACCTGAGCTGCAAACGCGTGCGCACACACACACACACCCCTCTAAACCAAGCCTCCTTCATTCCACCAGTATCTGGGCAGGCTCACATCCCAGCCAGACGAATCTGATTTTTGATGCCCTTTTACCTCCCTTATCACACAACCTAACCCTTCAAATTAGTCCTTACCCACACTGGAACCCCCTCACTTTTCCCACTCCACCAATAGTTCTTCCGATTTTTATCAGGGAGATTTTCTTAGCAGGCAGGATCTCCTGTCCTCGGAGACCCTCAGCATGCTCCACATTCATTCCCATTCTCCCTCTCTCTCTCTCTCTCTCTCTCTCTCTCTCTGTCTCTCTCTCTCTCTTCTCTCCTCTCATCTACATTGTACCATCAGTCAGAACTCTACCCACAGAATACGGCAAGGGGGAGGTGACTTGAAAGAATGTGCATTCTGATGTTTTCACTGTTGACTATCTACCTCCCCAGTCTGGTGCCAAAATCCATTCCAATCCCAGAACACCTGTCCTTGAGCCAATGAGACTGATCAGCAGGATTGGAGTTCTCCACAGATAATCCACAAAGCACATCACCAAATGCCAGGTAGTCAGACTTACTGACTGGGTTATCAACTCTTTGTCCCCTCAACTTCAGAGTCTTCACCATCCCAAAAGTCCAGGCCAATCTATGGTTAAGAAGTAACCAAAGACGTGCCCAAAAACATAGCTGCAAATACATTTATCCAGTAAGTGAGGGTGCAGTCTCGTGACAGAATACCATGGTGTTAAAAACGTTACAGAACATTTAGCATCACGGAAAGGCATTCATAAGTGATAAGTGAAAGAGAAAAGTACAAAACTATGTTTTAACAGATACAATTATGAGAAAATAAAAATGAAAAACTACATTCTAGTGGTTAAGACATAGGCTTCTAGTTAGCAGATTAATTATAGTTTAATTAGGCTCTTGCTAGTTACAAGACAGGGAAATTAGGTAATCTCACACTCTGTTATCTGTAAAATAGGGATAAGGAAATCCTTACCTCATGGGGTCGTTGGAAGAATATATATATGTCTGTGTGTTGTGCGTGGCACCTTTGAGTTCTCCATAAACGTTAACTACAAAGAACTCATAGAAAAATCTGGACATATGAATGGTGGTGATGAGATAGATAATCCTTATCCATAATTTCTAAAGTTTCTATCACAAACATGCTTTAATTTAGCAATAAGAGGAAGACAATAACAGTTGGGTTGGGGTGATGCAAGCTGAGAGGCAGAGCTCACCTTGGTCTGGTACAGAGCCTCAGCCTCATCCTTGCTCCTCTGCGCGATCAGCTCATACTCCACCCTCACTGCATCGATGATGCTGTCCAGGTCCAGGAAGCGGTTATTGTCCATGGACAGGATGACATTGGTGTCACTGATGTTGGTCTGCATCTGGGACAGCTCCTGAAAGACATGGAACACAATTGACTTCTCTCCTCCTAGAGTCTTAGTCTACCTCTACTGCTCCCTCAGGTTTCTCCAGGAGAGCCGAAGCCTGGACCAGAGGGGAGTCTAGGGGAGGTTGTCGGGGGGAGTTCTTTGAATTGCCATATGCTATGAGAGGTATAATGGGGAGAATCTTAACTTCCCCAGCTGAAGGTAATGGAGTGCACACTTAGCCTCCAGGGATGAGGAAAGAGCCTGAACTTGGAGCCCCCATGACACCATCTCTCCATCATGCCTTTCCTGCACTCTCTGTCCTGGTACCATCTTGAGCAGGGCCTTCTAACAGGTGCACTAACTCCTTAAGGCCACATGAGCTCTCAGAGGCAGTGGAAAGGACTCCAGATGTGAAGTCACTGACCAGCTGAGTGAACAGGTGAGTAATTTAATCTTTCAGTTCCTGTTTTCTGTAGAATGGAGATTCCCATAAGCAGCACTTCTTTTTTTTTATTATTAGTATATTCATATGTGCATACAATGTTTGGGTCATTTCTCCCCCATTTCCCTCACCCCCTCCCTTACCACCACCACCCCCACTCCCTCCCTTACACCCCCCAGCCCCTCGCTACAAGGCAGAAACTATTTTGCCCTTATCTCTAATTTTGTTGAAGAGAGAGAATAAGCAGTAATAGGAAGGACCAAGGGTTTTTGCTGGTTGAGATAAGGATAGCTATACAGGGAGTTGACTCGCATTGCTTTCCTGTACATGTGTGTTACCTTCTAAGTTAATTCTTCTCGAACTAACTTTTTCTCTAGTTCCTGGTCCCCTTCAGTTAAGCAGCACTTCTAAGACAGCACCCAGCCTGGAGTATGTATCTCCAAGTTATACCCCAGCAACAGGAGGGCAAGCGTGGAGGACCACATATCCCATACCCCTTCGGTCTGTCTTCACTCCCTCTAAGATCCTTGTTGTCATCTCCTACGTAGTCTCTAACAGCCCTACGGACTCCCCAGAATACATGAAGATTTCTGGTTGGTTTTGCCATGATAGATCCTGGTGTTAAACCTCATGTCCAAGAGAAATTGGAAGCCACAAAGCAAGGATAACGTCACCTTGTCACTGCCCCCACTGAACCCTGAGGATTAGAGGTGAGGAGATGGCAGCCTCCATGCTCACAGAGTTGGGCTGACTGGAGAAGTGAACCCTTACTGGGTTATGCTGGGTTGCAGGTCTCCCCTCTTCCAGCCCATACCCTTGTGGGATGAGAGCAAAGAAAGAGGCTTCTCGTCAGGGCTGAACTCACCGTTTCAAACAGGTATTTCAGGAAATTGACCTCCGCAAACAGAATGTCCAAGTTGGACTGCAGGGCGGCTTTGCCCATGTAAGCGGCATCTGCGTCCTGAGCAGGAAGCAAAGATGGTGACTTCCCGGCACTTTCTGCCCCAGTTCACCGAGTGGCACAGCAAAGTAGCAAAGCCTCTCAAACTTTGTTTCCTGGCCTCTCATTCAAATCAGGGACCTGCAAACAGGCTTTCTTGGCAGGCAGGAAATATGACACCAGCCTCCATACTGGGGACACTCATACCCAGCATCCCAGGTACCTCCCCATGTCCCAAGGTCACACATAACCAGTACCCAAAAGCTGTCACTATTTAATTTCTCTTCAAAAGCCTGAGGAGATAAGACTGGAGGACTCACACAGTGTCACACTTCCCCTTCAGTGTGTTTGGGCAGCACACACACCCAGAGGTCACCCTGTCCATGTCTCAGAGTATCATAGGGGTCACACACACACACGCACACACACAAAGTCCCTCTCAGGACTTCCCTTACCTTCTTCAGAACCACAAAGTCATTTTCAGAGCTGGTCCTCTTGTTAATTTCTTCCTCATACCTGTGGGGGATAAAAGCACCAACAAGCTGCAGGACTGCCCTCACCAGCCTGAGGTTTCTTCTCACAACACAAAGCTCAAACCTTTCTGTCTTTCCAGGTCAACAGAGGGATCAAGGACCCAACATGGAAACCCAGAGCCACAAAGATGTCCCCAAAATGCCCAGTTTTATTCTGATGGTCTACCTTTGTAAATGTGTCAAACTTGAACATTTTTTCAATTAAGAACATGAAGTAATAACCACTTTTTCTAAAATTTGTAAGAGAAAAATTTCATCTATAGTTCTGTACCTCCCCCCACACCTGCAATAGGAGTTTTATTTTTCCCTTGTTGACTCACACACCCTTGGCTCTCCAGTGGCCCAACACAGTAAGCAATCTTAAGAGAAGCACCTGCACTCTTATGGGGAGGAAGAGGGAGAGAGCAACCGCTCAATTGCCTTTGCCTACACAGCTAGTCTACTGCTCTGATCTGGAATTCAACAGTTCCTGCCACCCCTACCATTACTTTTAGTCATCGCCAGCACTGAGTGCTTAGTACGTGCAGGCACAGTGCTAAGAACTTATTAAGCATGATTTCATCTAAATCAGAGATTCGCAAAGTGTGCTTGCTGATCTGCATTAGCATCACTTGGAAACATGTTAGAAATGCAAATACTTTCTCCATCCCAGACCTACTGGATCAGAAACACTGGGGTGGGGCGCAGCAAGCTAATGCATGCTAAAGTTTGAGCACCACAGATCCACTCATCACAACACTCAACAAGAATGGTTCTTACTACGCCCACTTCACTAAGAGAGATGAACTTGTAGGCAGGGCTTATTTGACTCCAACATCCATGAAGCTATCCTGCCCTTTTTCACTTAATGTAATTTACAACTGGCTGTCAGTACTATGCTACCAAGACTGCCACGTGCAAAATGACAACCCCTGCAGTTGTACAGAGCAGAACCTGCATGGCTACACCTAGTGGCTCTGGTCCCACCTCTCGCACATAAACACTAAAGCAGAATGTCTTCCCTCAGTGAATCCATTGTCCCCTTTTCCCCGTCTGGACCCTCACTTGTTCTTGTAGTCCTCCACGACATCCTGCATGCTCTTAACTTCCATGTTTTTGCGTGTCTGCTCAGCATTGAGAAAATCCACCTGCCTCCGCAGCTCACTGATGTAACTCTCCAAGATGGGCTCCAGGTTGTTGGTCCGAGTTGAGGTATTTACCTGCTGCAGTAGCTCCCATTTGGTTTGCAGCACCTGGTTCTGCTGCTCCAGGAATCGCACCTAAAAGCAAAGACCCCAAGTCCACTGCAGACCATGGGTCAGTTCAGCTGCCCCACAGGAAGGGAGACCAGCAGCCCTGAAGCACATCCAGGCCTCAGAAAGTAAGTCAAGATGGACCCTCCAGGAATCAGAGAGCTTCCCATTTCTAGGACCAGGACACACAGAAAGAATTGTGGTCAACTTGCCTAAATTTAAGGCCAACTTGCCCAAAATTGACACCAAATTCAGTCTTCTTTTGAAGGCACTTCACCTCCAGCTGAGTGCTACAACCCCTTACATCACAGAGTTTTCACCTCCACATTCAATTTATCCATGCCAACATAAGCAAAGTGGTGTTTCAGAGTGTCTGAAACCATAAAACTTCAAGGCTCCTTTCTCTTTACGGTGGCATGTGTTGTGTGATTGAGACAGAGGGAAATAAAAGAGAAGGAACAATTGTGTTGAGAATATTAAAGCTGAATCCAGAGCAAGATTTCTGGGTGCCCCCAGCAGCCAGCACCTCCTCTGCTGCCTGCCAGTATGGTTTTTCGGAAAGTAAACTCATTTAAAGGCTAATATAATCTGAATTTTAAAAATCAGTGTTGTAACTTCTTAAGAAGTTAATGTAATGCATTCTAGTACCCCAAAGTAAGAACTTTAGGTTTCCAGATATTTAGGAAACACTGAAGTTGCTATTTCCTTTGCAAGCCCCAGAAATAGAGACTGGATACCACCTTGCATTTTCACTACCTCTGCCCCCAAAACTGTAAATACGAAGGTTAGATATAGAGAGGGGGCTGGCTGTTCAGAACAAGTGCCTGGATTTTGTCATCACACAACACCCAGCTCTCACCTGCCTTCTTGCCGATTGCTCATGATGGAGCCTTCCCCTCCCACATTCTCATAAAGGCAGAGGTTCTGGCTCTGCACTTTGCTCAGGCACATGCCTGTGCACACACACACATTCACATACATACACATGCACATATGAAATTCACATGCACACAGTGACAAACACACAGATACACACACACACAACACACACCCCTCCAGAATCCAACTCATTCCTTCAGAGCTTTGAAGGGGGCAAACTTACTGTTTTGTGTGGTCAGAGAAGCACCCTGCAGACACTGCCTTAATGATGTGGCCCTGAGAAAGTACCCAGAATTCCCTTGCATCTAAGAGGCCAGGCTTTGTCAATTCCCTTTGGATTCTGACTAAGCTGGAAAATGTTTGCAGAGAGCTCTCTTTCTCATGGCTCATTTTTGCTAGCTTTATCAAAGCAAGAGATTGGAAAAGCATCTCCCATGGGCTTGTCAGCACATCTTGTAACACTTCTGTGTTATTCCTGCCACTTTCTATTTTTGCCCTGTGGTGGCACTCCTGAGGAGCATAGAAAAAAATATTTTGTTTTTTATTCACATGCCTATATTCCATGACCGTGGCATCATGGGGACCAAAAGAAAGAATCTGGTGGTAGCAGTTGTGGGTTGGAGAACCAGATCATATCAGGTCTTATGGGATTTTAGCTTTTATTCCAAGTGAGACGAGAACTCAGTGGAAGATTTAATATAGGAGTATGTGCCATCCTTTTAAAGGAGGGGTCTGCTGGGTGTTGAGAATATGCAGTACTGGACTGAAGGAAAACAGAAAGACCAGCTTGGAAACCAGGGTTATAAATCACTGTAATAGAAGCCTTCTCCCTTCCGGGCCAGAGCTCACATGGCTGAGGGACCTTTTCACATGGTCATCATAGGCCATACCCTTAGGGAAGGACAGAAAGACAAGGTTCCTTGCACCTTGGCCTCTGTCCACAACTCCTTGCTATAAAACTGGACAGATGCTCTTTAATATCAGGAACCATAATCCAATGAGAGTCCCAGATCAGTTTCCTGAAGTCTGTGAGCATTTCACTGATGCCAGCCCCTTTTCTCCCTGTTCCATCCTTGGCCCAATCTTGAACTCCTTGCGATTTCACCTCCCTGCTCCAGTCAAAACCCCCAGCCTCTGCCTGTGCCTGAGCTGTGATGATATTCAGCCAGATTTCCCATCCAGAGTGATCAGAAGTGGCCAGAAGCACTTTGGTCTGTTGAACTCCCTTTGGGTGGTCTCTGGACCTCAATATTCTACTCCTTCTCCTGCTCACATGCTCTGTCCTGTCCCCAGCATTTGCCCCAACATCCAGCAGTGACCACTATCCCTCTCCCTCTGGACAAAAAGAAGTGCTAGAGGAAATTCTTCACCATAGCTGCCTGCCAGCTTCTGCATAGCAACTTGGACCTGAAGCAGAACTAGTCTGAGGTTTAATCAGGGCATTACAGACAAGGAGCTTCCATTGCTCTATCCTGCCTTTCCTCTTCCTGGATGAGCTAGAAGAAGAAACTCAGACAGAATGCCACATTGTGCATTACTGACTTTGGTTCCAAGGGAGACCCACCCTCCAGAGCATTCACCTAGCCCATGCCATTGGCCTTCCCAGCCTGCTGTTCATGCCCTGGCTTTGTAACTGCATGGCCACTTCTCTCCTTTTCCTTCTGTTCTGCTGTTTTCTCCAAGAATTTGAACCATTTGAAATTCCCTAAAAGTGTCATATTTTATGCCTCCTGATCCTTCTGCCTAGAAATCCCCTCAGCCCTGAGATCCTGTTTCACTCTTCTTCCACCTTTAAAGTTCAGGCCAAACCTGGGGTCCCCAGTGGAGCCCTCCCAGAATCCAGCATTCAGAGCTCATGGCACTTCCCTTTGAGCTACCATGGCCCAGAGAGTACTACACCTATTAATATACTTCCTATACTCTGCTATCGTTTTCTCCCCTTAGACATGGAGCTCCTGGAAGACAACTTATACACTAGTCACCCCTATAGCACCTGGCACAGTGGCATCTAATAGATGCTCAGTAAATATTTGTGGATGAAACAGATGGACAGATAGGTAGGTGGATTGATGGATAAATGGGTGAGTGGATTGATGGATGGGTAAATGGGAGTTGTGTATGTATAAATAGGTGAATATGGATGGATGGATGGATGGATGGATAGATGTGGCGAGGCAGATAGATGGATGGATGTGTGTGGATGAGTGGATGGATGAGTGGATGAATGTAAGTGGTTAAGAGGATGAATAGAGGATGAATGGATGGATAAATATGGTGGGGTAAGGGTAGATGGAGGAAGGAGGAAAGAAGAAAAAGATATATGGATGAGGATGGATGGATACATGCATGCATGCATGGATTGTGTGGCTGCGTAAATGGATGAATGGGTGTATGGGTAGATGGAAAGTGAATAATGATGCATGAGGCTGAGGTTACTATACTATATATCTGTTGGGTATCTTCACACCTCTTTTCTACTTTCCTGCCAAAAGGGCAATAGAAATAAATCCCCCACAAAGCCTGAACGAGCCTAAATACTTTCCTTATGTCCCAGGACATACATAACTGGAAGTGACTGTCATCATCAAACTGAAACAACACAATCTGGTGAGAGGTAGCAGGACACAAGATCCGCTTAGTCATTTGGTCAGTGACCAAAGACTCTACCTTCCCCAAAGGTGCTCACCTTATCAATGAAGGAGGCAAACTTGTTGTTGAGAATCTTTATCTGTTCCCGTTCCTGGGTCTTGATCCTCTGAATTTCAGGATCCACTTCCAGGTGAAGTGGCTCTAGGAGGCTCTGGTTAATAGTCACCTCATGGATGCCCCCTGGAGGAAAAGCAGGGCCAAAGCCCCCAATCCCCAAATTGCTAGCCCCAAATCCAGCACCCCTAAATCCTCCATGGCCACCACCTCCAAATCTGCCACCACCTCCAAAGCCACCACCCCCAAAGCTGCCACCTCCAAATCTTCTGCCCCCTCCAAATCCTCCTCCTGCTCCCCTACCCTGGCAAAATCCACTGGTGCCTCTCCCCACTAGGTTCATGGAGATGCTTTTAGAGCCACCCAGATTATAGAGGCTTCTAGAACCAAACCCCAGCCCATAACCCCCATAGCCACCACCACCAAACCTCCCTGAGGACTGACACACAGACCCCACAGCCCGATTCCCACCACCAAAGCCTGAGGAAGACCTGATGCTATAGGCCCGCCTGCTCCTAGAGCTAAATGCAGACTGAGAACTAAATTGGCGGCTCATGGTTGCAGGAGCAACCAGAGGCACACACAAGAGTGAGGGCCCAGCTGGATAGAGGAAGAGATCAGGGAGGGAAGGAGCTGTGACTCCGTTGGAAGAGATCTGGCTCAATCCCTATATATACACATCTGCTGGGCTGGGCCCTTCTGGATCCTGGGAGGGGACTATTTGTTTAGCTTGCCTGACAGTAACATCTGTTTAAAACCTCACACCTATGTGTTGCAGAAATTACATTGTAGACAAACTTCCCTAACTCGATCATTTATCATTCATCTCTTACCACTGAGAGATGGGACTGCAATAATCTCTCTGGATCTAGTTGCTGGAAACCCCTGTAGAGTTTCTTCCCCAAATCAGTAGTTGATATCTTCCTAAGAAACTCCACCATTGATTTGTTTGTTTGGGGATGTGTCAGAGATCTGCGGCAAAGGTAGGGGGTATCTAGTGACCTTGAGAACATAGCTGAGACAGGGTGGAGATGCCTGCTGTCATGGCACTGTTCTTGTGGGCAAAAGGTTTTTTGTTTTGCATCAACAAAGTTATTTTATTGAGCATATAACAGTATCTAATGTTGCCTTGTAGACCAGGAGATAAACTATTCCAAAATATCTCTTTTCCAGTTTTATCCTTTCTGAACTGTTACAGACAATATTCTTGTAAAATAAAATAAAATGATTTACCCTTTATGTTTGTTTTATCTTATTTTTATTACCATAAATTAATTGTACAAAAGGATTTCACTGTGGCATTTACTCACATGTATATAATGTGCATCTATATTACTCTTTCTTAATCCCCATCCCTTCTCTCCTCTCCTTTTTAACAGTTTTTAGTGTGTTTCATTACTCTTTTCACACATACATATAATGTACTTCTACCATATTCACTCCCATCACCCTCTCCTTTCCTTTTCACCCCTTGTGCTGGTCCTTTGCCCCAATAGTCCCCATTTCATGAGCGTGTCATATTATTATCTTTTAAGTCTAGATTATTAATTACCCATTAAGGCTATTTAAAGACCAAAGATATACAAAGTACAAGCCCTAATTTTGTACAATGGCTCTGCTAAAATAAAATAATACTAATAAGTTCCTAAATGGTTACTCCTGAATTCTGTACTTATCAAGAACCAGTAATAATGTGTCCAGGGACCACCAGTGGCCTGTACCTACACTTTGAGAAGCACTGTCCCAAACAGCTGGCCTGGAGTGAAAAGCACATTCAAGTACATCATCATCAGCCAACAAAATGTGTGCTTGCCCTGTGGGACTAAATAACATGTGACTTTCATTCAAAATGTAATAATATTTTTTAACTTAAAGGGAAAAAAATGCTGAGTGTCCAGCTTCAGAAAAATGGCTAAGTGATGATTTGCCTACTTGCACACAAAATTTAAAATTGTCATCCTGGATACTATGTAGCTGAACTCATAACACTAATGATACAATGTTAAATGGAGGGAGAAGAATATGCAACAGTCTGTGCTGTGAACTCATAAAAAGTGAGAGTGCAGATAAGGCAGGTTTAGGAAGTAGCTAAGGAAGTGCATTGATCTATTATGGATTATGGGACATTTGGTTGTAGGATTTTAAATATCCTTTCCCTCTGTCTTCCTGATATATATATATATATATATATATATATATATATATATTTTTTTTTTTTTTTTTGGCAAAAGTTGGGACTGAAATCACAAGTGCCCCAACATTGTGACAAAAATCTCAATGGAGGTGAGAAAGAGCAGGTGATAGAAAAGAATAAGAGAGGGAAAAGGGAGCAGCAGTGAGCAGTGGGAGAGGTTCTGAGGGCAGCTTCAAGGTTCTACCCCTTCTTGTCACCCTCTCTGCTTTCTGAGCTTGGTAACTGTTTAATTGGTCATCTCCAGAAGACAGCATGGGGCAGAAGCGTGAGCCTGAAATGTGCACACAGAAGAACTAGTTTCAGCTCTCAGCCCTGCTTCCTACTGCTGTGTAATCTCAGCCAAGCTGCCTACTCCAAAGCCCCAGATACCAACGCTGTTTCTCAAGGGTTCAAGGCCATAAGACATGTGAAACTAAGCAGAGCCCACTATAAACACTCAGCAAGCATAAATACAACTGCACCAGATCCTGGTAGGGTAATAGTTATCCAAGGAGCCCCTTTCTTTACCCAAAGGTGCCAAATTTTTGGGCAGAGGACCAATAGTGAGTCCTGCCCAACTGAGTTAAAGTGAAGACCAACCCATAGATGTCTTGGAAAATGAAGAGCTTACATTCCACATTAGGCAGTACTGGAATTGAAACCCAGCTCCACAATTTACTAGTTTTGTGACTGACCTAATTACTGAGTGTTTGAACCCTACTTGTCTGTTGCTTAAAGAATGTGCCACAGCACTTAACAATAAGTATTTTAAATGATTGCCAGCACCATTGGTGTTATTTTGTGGCAATAGTTACAGCATTGAAACTTGTGAGTGCTATGAGTTTCTAGAAAGAGAAGCAACTGGAGAAGGCTTGAAAGACACCCCAGAATGCCCAAGCTGGCCTGAAGGATCTATTGTATGCAAGCAGAGGGAGTACTCTGGAATAGGGGATTGGGGCCAGGGATAGGCCAGGGGAACTGCACAGATCAAGGCCTGGAGAAAGAAATGGATATTACAAGGGGTGGAATGGAGCCATGGGGCCTTGAGGGAGGAAGTGGGAAATGGCAGGAGGCAGAGGAGAGTGTCACAGAGGGCACCAGAAAGGTCTTCAAGGGGAATTTTTTCAGTACTCACCCAGGTAGGTATTTATTCTCATGCTGAATATAGGAACATACTAAATAAGAGCAAAATAGAAGAGGAAGCCCAGGCAGCAGATTTCCAAAAATCCCTTTGCAGTCGGTCAGATTGTGACCAACTGCCAGCATCCAATGTCAATTCCAGGTCATCTCCTGTCCTTTGGATGGCCCCTGGTAGACTGCTGTTACTCCATAGAAGGGAGGCAAGGAGACACCTAGCAAATACTACTAATTAAACCTTTGGTGACTTTGCTATTCCCTACTCCCCTACAAGAAAAAATCAACTCAGAATGAGGCAGAAGAGATTTTTCTGTCCCCCAGGAGATATTCAAACTTGGGTTAATAGTACAGGGTGAATAAGTTTGCTAGGACAATTTTTTTTTTTTTGGCAGTACTGGGGCTTGAACCTAGGCACTCGTGCTTGCTAGGCAGGCACTCTACCACTTGAGCCACTTTGCCAGCCCTGATGGAACAAATTGCTATCCTTAAAAACCCCTCAACTGGTTGCGCAGCACAAAGCCACAGCTTCTAAACTTGCTACATATTGCAGTCATCTGTATTCAGAACTATGGATGCCTGTCCCCCACCACCACCACCCACTGGCAGTTGGCTTTAACTAGTCTGGGTCTTGGAAGATTTCAAAGGTCCCAGGTGGGAACCACTGACCTGGAGGAAATAGAAAGACACACAAAATGGTCTCTTGGGATTCCATGCAAAGACTGAAATATCAATAATGACCATCATAATACTAGTTGACCTCTTTTTTTTTTTTTTTCAGTGCTGAGATTTTGAACTAAGGGCCTACAATTTGAGCCACTCTACCAGCCCTTTTTTGTGAAGGGTTTTTTTCAAGATAGGGTCTTGCAAATTATTTGCCTGGGCTGGCTTCGAACTGTGATCTTCCTGATCTCTGCCTCCTGAGTAGCTAGGATTACAGGCACGAGCCATCAGCACCCAGCCTAGTTAACTTCTTATAAGAGCTTTCAGTGGGCTGTAAATAGTCTCATTAAATCTACAAACATCACATGGAAAGCTTTTTATTGTTCTCCTCATTTTATAGATGGGGAAGAGGATACTTAAAGAGATAAAGTATTTGTTCAAAAACACACAGAAGAGAGTGGTGGAATGGAAGTTTGAACCCAGGCATTCTTCCTCCAGAACACACATATTTTGCTGAGAGGATGGGAGCCTCATAGAGAAATGTGCCTCTTTCCACATCCCCATCATGCCTCACCTGTCACCAGCAAGTGTTCCCCTTAAAAGGAAAGTAAGAGTCAGTTAAAGGCCCTAGCTTGCCCCACCTGACAGACACAGAAACCCAGAGCTGCCAAGAGGGTGAGGCCTGAGCAATTATCAACCACCTGGATCACAATCTCAGTTAGCAACTGGAGGCAGAGTTCAAAAGGAGCTACAGGTGTGACCAGCAGAGGCAGCCCCCACAGATCTGCTCACCACCTTAGCTGGCATCTCCCAGGGTCTGGAGGTGGATGGCACAGGGGAGTGGCACAGGTGTGGGGGCAGAGAAAGAGAGGAAGAACCTCTCTCACCAGCCCCCACCCAGGAAAGAGCACTGCAGCTCTGGTGTAGGATTGAGGACCTTTACTCGCGTTGAAATGGAAACTTTTTGATCCTATAGTTAGCAGAAAAGAGAGAGCGATGTGATACAGATAGGGAGAGCAGCCTTCCAGACTGAAGAGAAGGCTGTGGTCACTGTTCTCCCTGCAGAAGTACTAGAAGCAGACACAGGCTGGTGTTCATCAACCCAGTGCCTTCATGTCACAAGGAGAGGGACATGGTCAAAGTCACAGAAAAGGTCAATGTGCAGCTAGGAGTAGAGTTTGGGTATCCTCCCTCCTGACCCAAAACAATAGGGAGGTCAACAAGGAAATCCCATGCAGCCTCTCCTCCTGGACTTGGGAGAAAGACTGGTGGCTGGCTCCACCTCCAGTCTCTAGCTAGCAGGCCCTGTGTACCAGAGTGTGAAAGTGATATAGGGCACACAGGATTGTCCCTGAGGAGTCCTCCTGATTTCTGGGTTAGGGTGTGTGTTGGATACCAACCATGGCCTCAAGTTCCTCCTCCAGCTGCATCCAGCCAGGATGTCCCCTTTTGTTATCCATCTGATTAGAACCTCAGGACCAGTTTGGAAACAAAGGTCAGGCAGTCTCCTTCCTCCTCATCAAATCTGTCAGGTGCTCTTGGGCCTGGAGATTGTGTAGAAGCACTCACAGGTATGCAACCTCCCA